TGAAGCTCGTAGTCACGCTGAGCTGCTACGTGTAGCAGCACCCAAAGAGTAGTCATCTTCGGGGTCAGAGCGAAGGTCTGGAAGAATTCCACCCCCTCACGCCGACTGAAACCTCTAGCCACATAGCACGCCTTGAACACAGGCGGCTCTCCAGGAGGGCGCTTCACCTTGAAGAGCCAGCGGCCATCGACTACGTTCACCTCCGGTGGGGGAACTGCGTCGACATAGGTGCCGGTGGATCTCCAAGATGCCATCTCCTGCTCCATGGCAGCTATCCACTGCGAGGCCTAGGGTCTTGAGACCGCCTCAGCGCAAGTGCGAGGGGTCGGGATGTCGAAAGCTTCAGGGTCACCCTCAGGGACTAGAAGCATAGAGCACAGATGGGGAGTAGCCTCGGACAGGAAAGCAAGCTCGTATTGGCGGTCCTCCTTGACGTCACTGCCGAGGGCAGGAGCACCCCCGACAGACGGAGGACAGGCAGGGCCAGAGACCAGAGCGGTGGTGTAGTCAAGGCGGCGGGTAGAGGTGAAGTCAGCGACCGCAGCGACAAGGGCATCAAGGCTCGAAACCAAAACAGACGGGTCGGTAACGAGAGAGGCAAGGACCCGAGGAACAAGAGGGCGGGCGGCACGCAGACAGTCAGAAAGAGTGGGGGGAGCAACGACAAGGGAGGACGGAGGGGGCGACGGGAGAAGGGGAGGACGAGACGCGTGGGAACGAAGCAACATAGGGTGAGAACACGAGACAGGGGAGACAGGTCGAGCACGGGAGGGGCGGTGGGACCAGACATGAGACGGAGGAGTCGGGTCAGCAGATAGAGGAGGGGACACAAGAGGGGAACGAGGGGGGAAACGGGCTGGAGACGAGTCCGGAGGAGGGAACACAGGGCCGTAGACAGGAGGAGGAGGACACACAGGCACGGGGTCAGGGGACGGACGGCAGAGCAGGCAAAGAGCGGACACTGGCGGGGACTGCTGCGGCGGCGGTGTGACACCGACACTGGGACCGCAAGCTGCCTGGCGGCTACCTCCAGAACACTCCACGCCAGCACCCCCAGAAGGAACACCCCCAGAGCTCAGAACCCCTCGAGCACCGGTACCACCCCCAAGACCGCCGGGACAAGCCACGACAGGAGTCCCAGGACTAGTACCCACCCCAACTTCAGCACCCCCAGAGGCAACGAGCTGCTGCGACGACGGCTGCGACAGCGACGGCTGCAACGACGGCTGCGGCGGCGGCGGCGGCGGCGGTGACGACGGCTGCGAAAGTGGTGGCGATGGCGGCTGCGGAGGCGGTGGAGGAAGAGACACCTGAGAAGGGGCAGGCGGCAAGGACTGCGCCGCAGGACCACCAGAGTCAGCAGACTCCCCAACCGAGACAACCGACGTAAGTGGGGTGACTTGGGACACACCAGAGGGGGCAGGACGGGGAGGGGGAGGAGGAGGGGCGGCGACGACCAGGGTAGGGGTGACCAGGAACGGGGAGGAAGTAACCGGGGGACCTCGGTGGGGGAAGTGTCGGAAGAAGGAGACGGACTCGTCAAAGGTGACGTCACGAGAGTGAAAGAACCAGTGTGACGACGGGTGGTAGAAGTGCCAGTCAGACGCGTCAAGGGGGGAACCAAGGAAGACACAGGGAAGAGTGCGGGCAGTGAGCTTGTCCGTGCCAGAGGCACGAACGTGAGCAAGGCAGCCCCAGACGCGGAACGCAGACGCGTCACCAGGTGACCTAGACCACAGGAGGGTCGGCGAAACCTGAGGCTGCTGGGGGTGCGGCCACAGGTTAAGCTGGTGAGCGGCGTAGCGAACGGCGAACGGCCACAGAAAATAGGGTGCCTCGGCATGGATCATGGAGGTGCGAGCCACCTCTATAACCAAACCGATGCGTCGCTCAGCGACCCCATTCTGCTGCGGGGAGTCCTGCAAGGTGAACGTCTGGGTGATGCCCTCCGCACGATAGAAACGACCAAGGACACCAGAGGCAAACTCGCCACCACGGTCGGAGTGGAGGCGCAAGAAAGGGAGACCGTGGTGGACACGCGCAGTGACAAGCCACGGGATAAGAACGCCAGGCACGTCGGCCTTCCGCTCCAGGGGGAACACAGTGGTGTAGTGCGTGTAGCCGTCGAAAAGCACCAGGAAGTAGCGCTCTCGACGCGGCCGATGGACGGGGGCGAGGCCCCATCCATGTGTAGAGTCTGTAGCGGTGCTGCAGTAGGGGGAAACGAGGAGGAGTGAGGAGCACGGCGGAGCCGGCCCTCGACACAGGGCGTGCAAGGTGGAGCTGGGGAGGAGGGAAACTCGGGGAACGACCCGGGGAGGCCTAGGACGAGACCGTGCTGTAATATGTGACGCAGACGCGGGAGCGCAGGGTGACCTAGGCAGTTGTGCCAGAGAAGAGTCGGGTGAGTGAGAGACGGACTGGAGCAGGCAGCAGCAACCGGGGGAGACACAGTCACCTGAGGGGGAGTCCCAGCCGGGGGGGTCACTGTGTCAAGTGTGAAAAGACCGAACACCGGGTCCCGTGGGAACGTGGACAGGGGGGCACCAGTGGCGGCCTTGGTACAGAAAGCGTACCGCTCGTGTCCAGGGAACGTTGTGGTGACGCCAAGGACCTGAAGGCAGCAGACACCAACTAGGTTCCTGGAGAACGAGGGGATGTGCAGTTCTGTGAGCGAGCCCGAAGGAACCGTCGGGCAGGGGAGGGTTGTGGAACTGCGGGCGACTACAGGGCTAGAGGAGGGGTCAGCAAGAGAGACTGCGGCAGGGATAGGAAGCGGTGTCGGCGTCGTGGAGTCGCGGAAGAAGCACTGGGAAGCGCCTGAGTCGAGGGTGAAGGAGAGCGCGGCAGTGGCGGCCGGAGGCGAAGCAGCGACGAAAGCACCAAGGCTAAACAAAGCAGGGGATCCTACGCCTGACGCAGCAGGGGAGTCTAGGCAAGGCACACCTACACTAGGCAACAAGGGGTAATAAGACGGAAGCACACTAGAGTCATCAGCATACATCACATGCAGAGTAGTAACAATCGCATCCATATCCAGATAAAAAATCTGAACCCTATGACGAAGCAAACTGTGCCTGTCTGGGAGCTCGGGCGACAGGCCGAAGCGCTGACGAAACAGGTCGTCCAGGCGACGGAAACAGCGGTCGGAGGTGTGGCCGATCTTACCGCAAACGAAGCCACGGTGAGGACCGGTCTGGAGCAGGTACTGACAGCGCGCGGGACCCGAACCACCACCCGCCAGCCCACCACACGCACCACCACCACGTCCAGCGCTACCACCAGCGCGAGGCCACTCGGGCGGGAGACCACTCGCCCGTCTCGGCTGCTGCTGCGACTGCTGCTGCTGCTGCGACTGGTGCGGCTGACGTGGGTCCGGCGGCAATACCGGCGGCTGCTGAGACGACTGCTCGGCGGCACCTGTCAGGGTCCTCTCGTCGACACCACTACCAGGGGACCCAGCTCCCGCACCTCCTACACCTGCACCCCCACCCCCGCCGTCACGCCCCGCCTTGGGGCGGCGACCCTTCCCCGGACGGACCTGCGCTGCAGCAGCAGTCTCAACCACAGCAGCAGAGGCGTCGGAGAAGATGCACTGAGCGGGGGCGCAACCCTGAAAGATAGGGACCGGCACAATACTGCTGGTCTGGGCAGTAGAGCGGTGGCGGGCCTCTATAACGGAGAGGGTGTCAACAAAGTCAGTAAGGGTGAGGTCTGCGGGGTGGACGCTAAGGAAGCGGTCGCGGGCAGTGGCATGGCGGTCAAGAAGGCGGGTAGCCAGCAGGTAGAGAGCAGAGCAAAGGGGCGGCTGGTGAGTGCGAAGCTGTGTGTCGGTGTAGGCAGCGCGCCAGGTTTCGTCTATAGTGCGCAGGTGGGCGGCCAGGTCAACGACAGTGGGGAACAAAGCAAGGTCAGGGAAGAGGATGGGGAGGATCAGGCGACCTACCGAGGCAGCAGGCGAGGTGGAATAGCGCTGGACAACAGCATCTAGGAAGGCATGGGCAGTGGTGATAGACCTGAAGCGAGGTCGCTTGGACAGGGGGAGGGCATTACTAATAGCAAGCTGTGCGACAGCGTCACGGGACAGCCAGACAGAGCGAGCAAGGGCAGCGGCCGCAGCGGACTCACGCTCAGCGGACGAGGGGTCAGGGGACAGTGCAGCAGGGGGGTCAGGGCAGGGGAGGGTACCGTCAAGATGGACAGGCAGAGAGTGGCCATCCAGCCGCTGACTAGTAAGGTGGCGACGAAGGTCAGCAAGCCACGCATCAAACTCAATCGGCTGGGGGCCGGCTAGAGACGGGCACGACGATCAGGGGGCCGGCTAGGGTCGGACGCGACGGCCAGGGAGCCGGCTAGGGACGAGCGCGACGGCCAGGGGGCCGGCTAGGGACGGGTGCGATGGCCAGGGGGGCGGCTAGGGGCGGACGCGACGGCCAGGGGGCCGGCTAGGGACGGACGCGACGGCCAGGGGGCCGGCTAGGGGCGGACGCGACGGCCAGGGGGCCGGCTAGGGACGAGCGCGAAGGCCAGGGGGCCGGTTTGGGACGAGCGCGACGGCCAGGGGGGCGGCTAGGGCCTAGGGGGCGGAAGCGTGGGCGGGCTAGGGGGAAACCTAACCTACTATGATACCATAACAGAAAGAATGAATGACTAGAGTGGTGAGATACAAGGCAATATAGTCTAGAGACTTGTACCCACTAAGGCACAAATATATATAGTCTACAGTAACTGCATAAGCTATGTTTGACAATTCTTTCAGTTGAACAATTGTATCCCTCTCTCTTCTATTCTCTCTCCCTTTTCTCTTGTCAACTTTCTCCTAGCTAAACCCTCGTGCCATTCCATGGCTTCCTAGCTACCTAGTCTCGTGACAGTTCGCGTGTACTGGCTGAGGCGAGGCCCAGTAAGGAAACGTAATTCCTTACAAAGGGCAACATGAGGGCAACATGTTACATAAGGGCAACAATTTGATCATTGCGCGTACCCTGTACAGGTCCCTTGGCATACTTCTACCATTGGCCGTTACAAAAAGCATGTCAATACAATTCATACTAGACGATTTCGTAAGCCTCTGGTCCTACAATTTGTGACTAGTGTGAGAATCTGTCGCTTCGCACTGAACATACAATCGAGTACAGTGTGTTGTTTGAGGACTTGCTCCCCCAAAGAGTATAAGTGCTGTGGCTTTATTACCCACGAAGAGACCATAACCAGCCAGTCAGCTACTGGTGGTTCATTCCGACCATTCTTTCAAGCACGTTTCGTTCGTTCGTAGCTTCATCGCGTGCCGCGTGGCGTGTCAACTCGCGCCCGAGTTTCGAGCGTCTCAAAACGCAAGCCTTGCCGCGCGGCGGGTCAAACCGGTGCGCCAGCGTTCGCTCACGGCTGCTGGAGCGCATCGACGCCGTGCGCGACGAAGTACTTGCCGCGGTATATCCCCGGATTCACGATCTGCGACCACGACAAGCCGTTCTTGCTCTGCCCGAGCGCGTACGGGGACCCCTTCCGCATGACCAGCGGCACGAAGTACTTCCTCAAGCGACGCGCGCCGAGCATGGTCGGGAAGGTAGTGCCGCGCTTGATCTCGTCGAACGTGAAGTAGCCGTCCAGCACGTTGATCAGGCCCGTGTCCGCGAACTCGAGCGCCTTGGCTCCGCTCCCGCCGGACCGGATGAGCCCGCCCAGCCCCGCCGGGCCGAGCGCCTCGTTCTGCGGGATGAGAACGGTCTTCTGGGCGATCAAGGAGAGATCCTCGCCGTCGGGAATGTCGTCTGTGAGGGGGGAAAGGGAGGGGGGGGGGGGGGGGGGGTGGAGGGGGAAGGGGGGGGGCGGAGATAGTAGAGGATGTGGAAAGGATAGGTTGGGAGTGGGAGGGTGGAGAGGGGGGAGGGGGAATGGGGGCAGAGGCAGGTGCGAAAAAGGAGAGAGGTGGGGGAAAATTCCTTTTTAAAGGGCTGATATATTTCGACGATAAACGAAGGAACAATGGAAGGTTGTAAGGCTCTTAAAAAAGCTGCTCGAAGCTCGGAGGTTTCGGCACGTACTCAATTTCGGAAGGGCTTGGTCTATGGCGGTGGCGACAAGCGTGTACCTTCCCAGGTACTTAAACTGCGTCAGCGCTTTGCGGAGCTTTCGAAGCTCGCTGATCAGCTCTTCCTTCGTCGGCTGCGCGGCCGCGCAGCACACGAGAAGAGCGAGAAGCGCGCCGACGATGAGAGGCCGGAGCGACATGACGCTTCGTGCCGTGATGGCGAACGAACAGCCCCTGAGGGGCGAGAAGCAGCGAGGAGGGGAGGCGAGGGTTGCACGAAGAACGCAGATGGTTGTTTTCTCTCTAGTGTACGCCACTGCTGTTGCGAGAGGGCCACGACGCGGTAAAAGAAAGCTGAACCAAGTAGAAGCAGAGAAGACGACGGATTTGAGCTCTTGTTTTACACAAGCTCATGTACGGGCTTGGCAGTGGAGCGACGAGGGAATTCTCCAAGCTTGGTGGAACCTCCCTCCCTCCTGCCCCTCTCTGCCATTGGAGAATCACCGCCCGCGAGCTGTCTTCCAGCTGCCATTTCGCTGGAACATGTTGCCATGCAGACTTGGCATCAGGCTCCGCGGCTTGGGCTCTGCTCCGTGCACAACGTGTTGGGGGGGGGGGGAACATGGGAACAACAGAAGGGATTCGCCAGGCTGGACTAGCGGAAAACACTCACCCAGATGTCACCTGACGATGAATGTAAAGAAATTCCCTTTTGCTTACTCGGCTAGACTACAGCGCGTACGCCTCTGGGAAGTCCAGGCTCAGGACAACTTCTTCGGTCCCGAACCATTTCGTGAACCCAAACCTAGACGCGCGGCGCTTCCGTGGCTTTCGCCAAACGGACCGCCCCAACCTGTTCGCGTGGTTCTCGGCTAGCTCTGCTGGTGCCTATAAATGCCAATGCCCTCATTTGTATCGACACTCTTGAATAACAACTCATTTATTACACTACCTATTATTATTCTGATTAATTCATAACAACTAGTATCAGAGCCCCGTTCCTGCCTGCTTAGTCTTCCGTAGAGTAGTCCGTTTATATTAGGAGAGGACCCGACAGAATAGAGGGTTGGCCAGCGGTTGGTAGGCGAGCTCGTTAAAACTCCTCCAACTAAATGTGTGTGCACCCTCTGATCTGTCAGGTATAATTTTCAACATGTCTACCACGCCGGAAACCTCTGCCCATCGTAGTGTTAGGAACGTGACGCAGGAGGAGTTTGACGAGTTGCAAGCCAGGGCGGCTACAGTGACGACACTGAGCTCCAACAACTCGACGATAAGTTAGAGTCGTTGGGAAGCGAAGTGCAGACGATGCGCAACGAAAACTCGCCCCTTCGCCAGACGCGGGGTGAAATGCGTCAGGGGCGGCCTGTTACCCGAGATGAAGATGCTGCGAGCGAAGTGATGGCGTCAGCGACACCTGAAGCAGTTGAAGAAGTCCACACCGTGGTGTAGCGCACGTAGTCGTCGATGGGCACAAGAAATTAGCGCTCGCAATGCGGCCCAGGGACGGGGGCTGGGCCCCGAACGTCTAAGTGCAGGGTTTGGAGAGGCGCAATGGTGGGGGGAAACGAGGGGAAATGAGAAGCACGGCATAGCCGGCTCTCAATGCAAGGCGTGCACGGAGGCGCGAGCGAGGGAGGGAGGGCAGGGAGCGACGCAGGGAAACCTAAAACAAGACCGTGCTGTGACATGTCACACAGACGCGGGAGTACCGGGTGACTTAAGCGGTGGTGTCACAGTAGTGATAGTTGAGTGAGCGACCGACACGAGCAAGCCGCAGCGACCTGAGTACGCGTCGCCACTTGAGAGGACGCTCTTTCCGGGGGGGACGCGGTGTCTAGCGTGAACAGGTCAGATACCGGGTCCCTGGGGAACGATGTAAGGGGGCACTAGTGGCGGCCTCTATACAGACTACGTACTGCTCAGAACGTAATGGTGATGCCGAGGTTCTGAAGATAGCAGAGACCAAGTAGGTTCTTGGAGAACGAGGGGATGTGAAAGCCTGTAAGGGAGCCCGCAATTAATCATAATAATAACAGGCAGTGTAATAAAGGAGTCGTGATTCAAGAGTGTCGATGCAGATGAGGGCCTAGGCATTCATAGGCACGAACAGAGCTAGCCGATAACCACGCGAATAGGTTGGGGCGGTCTGGTAGGCGAAAGCCACGGAAGCGCCGCGCGTCCAAGTTTGGGTTCAAGAAATGGTTCGGGACCGAAGAAGTTGGCCAAGCCTAGACTTCCGAGAGTCGAGGACGTACGCGGTGTAGTCGAGCCCAATAAGGAAAAGGGAATTTCCTTACACCACCCCCCCCTTCCGGGATGAGACTATCCACATCCGGGACACGCCGTCGATGTACAGTAAATAGTCCCGGACGACTTTGTGTTCGCCGAGCATAGTTGCAGGGACCCATAGACTATCGTCAGTCGTACGATCGACCCATCGTACAAGGAAATCAATGTTTGCTGTATCTCGATGGCCTCGTACGCGATGAGCGAGAATCTTGGACGGCTCGATCGTTGGCTCGGGTACTGGGTTGTTCGTACGATTGATGCGTTGACGGTCGAGACTAGTCGTACTCAGGACGAATGGTCGCAGGAGACTGACGTGGAACGAATCATGGATTCGCCAGCCGGTTGGTAGTTGTAGCTGGGCGGTGACTGGTGTCTCCATGCGGATGATGCGGAATGGGCTGTAAAATTTTGGTTGTAGTTTATTTGGGAGGGGGATTCCCATTTTTCTGGTGTCGAGCAGGACCAATTGCCCAGGGGCGAGCGTTAAGTCTCGGCGTCGTCGGTCAGCTTGCTGCTTAGCCCTTTGGTTGGCTTTGAGGATGGCATCGGCGGCTTTTTGCTGAGACTGTTGAAGGTTTTCGACGAATTGCTGAGATCTTGGTGCCGGGTTTTCTATCGGGGGCAATAGAGGGGTTGTTGGATCTACAGACTGAATAGTTGTGGCCGATGGGGCGTTATTGCATGCAAACTCGATCAAGGGAAGGGCGTCCTCCCATTGGGCCGGGTCTGTGCACGTCGTGCAAATCAGCTGCTCCATCGTCTGATTGGTGTTCTCAGTCTGGCCGTCCGATTGCGGGTGGTACGCTGTGGACAGATGCAGCTGTGTGCTGTACTGCTGCCAGGTTTTTGTCCAGAAGTTGGACGTGAACCGTGGGTCACGATCGCTGATGATTGCCGAGGGGATGCCGTGTAGCCGCACAATATCGCGAGGAAAAGTTTCGCTGTCTGCTCGGCAGTAATTGTTGTCTTGTGTGCGGCGAAGTGGGCCATCTTGGTCAACCGGTCAACGACGACGAGAATCGCTTCGTTACCGCTTGGACCAGCTAGTAGGCCAGTGATGAAATTTATCGTCACTTGTCGCAAGGGTCGGCTGGGTGGCTCGAGTGGCTGCAGCACTCTAGCAGGTCGAAGCCGGGACGACTTCATGCGTTGACACGTGGTGCACGAGGTGATGTACAACTGCACGTCTTTTGGCATGTCGGATCATACATAATCACGGCTCAGTAATTTGGCGGTTTTGTCAATGCCGTAGTGACCCGAGAATTCGAGTCATGTGCCCCATGAATTAGTAGTTCTCGTAGGTTACGGTAGGCAGGAACCCAAATCTGATTGGTACCGGATTTTAGGTAATAGGCCCATTGCTTGACCGTCAGTTGGGGATGACTGTTAGTGGTGAAGAATGGGTCAGCACTATATCTGTGGGTGAATAGGTCAGGTAGCAACGGATTAGCTTGGGTAATTAGGACGGCGGCGGTGTGGACTGAAGGGCAGGTCAGTGCATCGACGATGTTGCTAACCTCCCGTTTGTAGGTGAATCTGTAGTGGAAGTTGGACTCGAGGTAGTCGAGCCAACGAATCTGTCGGGGATTCATTGTTGGTTGGGCACGGATGAACTGTAGCGGCTTGTGGTCTGTTCGGACTGTCACGTCAGCGCCCTTCAGGTAGCAGGGCCAGACTTTGAAAGCATGAACGATGGCGAGTAACTCCTTGTCATGGACATGATAATTTTGCTCGGCCGGGTTCAGCTTTCGTGACTCGTAGGCAGGGCTAATTTTTCGTTTTCCAGGACCCAGCGGTCTCAGGATTCGCGTCACTAAATACCCTAAAAATTCAGCATTCCCAGGAAAATCTCTCTTTGTTTCAGGATTACTTTGACCTTTCAATCTGAATTTCAGAGTGTTTTTTGGAACTCCCTACATATAGGCGGAACCTGCGGGCACTTCGAGTACAAGCAGGACGGACATCTATGGAAGAAACGATGAAGAATACAAAGTACACACTTGCTGCTGTTGCTGTCCCTCAGCACCACACCAAGTTCGACACTTTCCTTGTCAATCGCGACAGAAATGCGTACAACTTAAAGGGACAGTGCGAAGACTGGCTAAGGTGAAATTAAGGGATTGTGATAGTCTGAAAGCCCTGCACTTCTGTAGTTGTGAAAGCTCCACGGTCACACCTTCAGATTGTGGGGAAAATTGGTCAGGGCTGCAATGGGGGAGGGTAGGGTTACAATTCCGGCACGGGTAGGTTTCCATTCCAGTCGGATAGTCAGGATAATTTTTCGCGCAGTCCAGAATTCTCAGAGAGTTCCTGGGAAACGCCCGGAATCTGTCAGGAGGTTTGTGATTCCGAAACCCTTTAAATCAGGATTTCAGCGGGAAAGACCCGGAATGTACCTGACATTCCGGATGTTTACCCTTGAACCGAGAGCCCTGCTCGTAGGCGATGGGTTGGAGGCCTTCGCCGAAGTCTTGTAACAGTACTGCGCTAACGGCCAGATCGCTAGCGTCAGTGACGAGCTCGAACGGACGGTGAGGATATGTAATCCGACGAACCGGAGGTGTAGTCAGGAAACGTTTGAGCTGTTTGAACGCAGCTTGCTGCTCTCCCCCCCACTCATAAAACTTGCCCTTCTTCAGGAGATCCGTGAGAGGGGAAGTGACCCCCGCCATGTTCGGAATGAAACGGTGGACGTAGTTCACGAACCCCTGAAAACTCGGAAGTCCACAGAGATTAGCTGGCGGCTTCCAGTCTTGTATCGTCACAATTTTCTTGGGGTCGATTTTAACGTCGTCGATGGAAATGACGTGGCCCAAAAACTCCAGTTCGTGTTTTAGAAACTCACACTTAGAGCCTTTGGTCGGTGCTGCTGCAAGGGAGAGAAAACTGCTGTCAAATCCTTCAAATGCTGCTCTCGGGTAGTGCTGTAGACCAGTATTTCGTCGAGGTACACGATGACGCATTTATCCAACAGTGGCCGAAAAACCTCGTTCATGGTTGACTGGAATGTCGAAGGCGCGTTTTTAAAGCCAAAAGGCATAACCGTGTACTCGTAATTCCCGTACTGGGTCCGAAACGCCGTCTTGTGGGAGTCAGCTTCGTTCATGCGGATTTGGTGGTAACCGCATCGCAAGTCAATTTTGGAGAAGAATTTGGCCCCGCGAAGTTGGTCGATGAGTTCGCAGGCACATGGGAT